GTTTACTTTATAAACGTTTTACTAATAAAATGATATATTCTACAGTTAAACGTTTTCACGTATACTCTATTTCTAAGTCTAACTGATAATACGCTTTTGTAAGACCTCGTACTCTTGGTTTGTTTACATTTCAAGTAATGTCCTTTAAATTTAAGAACAGCTGACAGAAATCGAAAAACGACGTTCAAATTCTGATGTGGTATATTGTAAATACAGTGCTTGTGCCATTCCTATCGTACGCGAGACATTGGCTACAGTTACATGATTAATACAAAGTCATGAGCATCCTCGTGAAAATTATAGAAATTTAAGCTCAAGTTAGAAAGAAAGATTGGCCTTTGAGTTAAAGTTCCGGATAACACGCGTTCTCAGAAAAGCTGTTCCAATCATGACAGAAGTAAGCATACAAGATTTAGAGGAACTTCTCGGATACTTCTCGACCAACACGACGTACGAAGCCAAGAATGCAGACATCACGGTAACTCTTTTTACGCTTACATTTTTATAAACTATCTTGTCTCGTCTGTGTAAATAAATGAACACTATTTCTTTTTCTAGTGTAAAGCGATCATGCAAAAATGTCTGCTGCTCACTGATCTAGATTATACTCACTCCGTAATAAATAACAGTGAAGGCGATCTTAGTGCATCCTATCCTAGCCATCTGATCATTTTAAAATACAAGAAGTTCAATCTGTGTGACACGCTGCTGCCACTGCCAGAGATCATAGACGAAAGCATGTATGACTTTAACGAATTGAAGGAATTGATAAACACTGCAAAATATGCCAGGTGTCGTACAAGATTTCCACTGCCGGTTATATTATACAAAGGTAGACACGTCTGCAGATCGGCCACAGTGTCCGGTGGAGTAGAAATGTACGGCAGATCTGTGATAGAGTACTTGTACGCCCTTTTCGGTAGCAAAGGGACAGTTTCTGTTGAGCAAGAAGTAGACGAGGCTCGTGGAGATGATTCTGTATCTAACGAGTCCTCATTGTATGATAAAGTCAGGCAGCAAGATATCAAGCTTCTGAAAACGTTTAATGTAGGAACCATAATAGATTTTATGGTCGAGAAGAAGAAGGTCAAATGTAATATCAAGTAAGTATAGAAAAATTTCACGACAATGATCGACGCACACATCTTAATTATGCTACCTATTTAAAGATGTTCTCTCCCTTTGAAATAACTTTTAGTTCTTCACAGATTCAGTGAAATTCAGTAATAGCGAATAGCATGATCGGTTTTATTTTCTTTTTTATTTCATTTCATCAACTTTTAGAGGACCTTAAACAGAGTTCTTTTGTTCGGTATCCAGCGTGACGTCCTCGGAGAAAGTAGACAAGCTGAACAGATACTCCGACTTCATCCTAATTTCACTGCCGTATCCTGGATGTGAATTCTTTAGGGAGTTTCGAGGAAACAACTTCTTGGCCGAAGGTTTGATGTTCGACTGGTCTCAGCCTTACGTGGATGCAGAAATTAATGTGCCGGAGGATTCGATCTCGAGTCAGTTACGAATCAATTGGGATCAATATCAAGGATGGGATCTACTTAAATTGACTCAAAATTATTTGAAACTTATATTAAGATATTTGAGCGATAGTAGTAACGGGATATTGATTCATTGTATCTCAGGTAAGTTCCTATCTCAGGTAAGTGAGATTCCTACTCGAACGATTGACCGAGCTAACGTCCATTACCGTTTTTATAGGATGGGATCGCACACCCCTGTTTATCTCGTTATTGAGAATCAGCTTATGGGCTGACGGTGCAATTCACACATCGCTAAACGTGTATCAAATTCTCTACTACACCATAGCGTATGACTGGATGTTATTCGGCCACGATTTAAAAGACAGACTGAGCAAAGGGGAAGATATATTTTTCTTTTGTTTCTATTTTCTAAAGCATATTTACAACGAAGAGTTTAGCATTCATTCGCTGCGTAATGACAGCGATTCACAATTGGACAACGTGACGTTTGTGACGTCGAGAGTGATACCGTGTTCGGTCAGTGACAATTTAAACCCGAATAGTTCTCCTAGTTCTGTTAGTAAAAGTAGCAGAGATAGTCTAGATAATAATCCACCAGCGTTGTTTCACTGTGATTCCACAGAAACTATTCAAGACGATTGTCACGGTAACGAGTAAGTTCCTTTTATCGCTCGCGGACGTCCATCGCTTTTCTTACTTTCTTGGCAATCATTTTCTCGTTCTATAGGAACGTGGTACCAAGGTCATCTTATCTTTCGCCGAAGAAAAGAGTCGCTTCTGGATCGTTATCGCCCTTATCGCCGAATCGGACTTCGCTTGTCGCTTCTGGATCGCGATCGCCCTTATCGCCGAATCGGAATTCGCCTGTCGCTTTTGGATCGCGATCGGTCTTATCGCCGAATCGGACTTCGCCTATCGCGATTCCCGGACAACAACAAGCCGAGTCTTTATCGTCCGGCGGCGGTTCTTGGCAGATGATATCTGGAACCGGGAGCCTTCACGGTTCCACGACCGTTAATGCACCGCTCACCGATGGACTGACGAATAGTTTAGGTTGTAAACCACTTTCTGAAACATCCCCGGGACACACGCCTCTAGAATCGAGCATAACGATCATCAAAGACGAAGCATGTTGTTGGATGACACAGTACGTACCATTAATTTATCGATCGCAGAATTTTCATAGTAAACGGAGAAAATAAGTAACGATCGTTCTGTTTCAGATCACGCAGAGAAAAGTTAGAATGTTTGAGAAATATATTTTATAAAGTTTATAGTCACACCGTGGGTTTCAAATAACAGACAATTCTGAGACGAATATCGCGGGCCAGTTTTTCAGCAATGTCGCGGAGACAGTAGGGATTCTTTCCATTCAACGCACATCCTTGTGACTGTAATGCATCGTTTACTTTTACTCTGCCACCTTTTCCCTTGGCTCCGTGATTATTAGTTTATTGTTATCGATTACTCGACTCAATTGAGAATTTTATAAAAACGCTATACAACATGTGAAAATAAAACAATTGTACATCATCGTTTATGCGAATAATGCATTGTTATACAAGATGATAGCGTGTATACGCGTGACATGAATAAAAGCTTGATATTTTTGTGTATATATACACCCATAATGAACTATAGACACAACAACCATAATGTTTCATTACCTCCCTATAGAATACTCTGCTACCCTCATGAAGATTACTACCTCTTTCTGTCTAACGACGCATGCGCACTACTCATGCACGTATATATTCGAATACGTTCGCGCCCTGACAGAATTGGACAAAATTAATTATATCAGAGAGGAACTGAGAGTGCTCACGTCCCAGGTTTCGGCGTCCCCAATTCGATGGTGCTGCCAAAGCTAAATTTTGCAGGAATCTGACACGTTCAGTTCAACGTTAGCATTTACCAAAACTACCGAGGAGAGATTACAATTTCTAAGTCTAACTGATAATACGCTTTTGTAAGACCTCGTACTCTTGGTTTGTTTACATTTCAAGTAATGTCCTTTAAATTTAAGAACAGCTGACAGAAATCGAAAAACGACGTTCAAATTCTGATGTGGTATATTGTAAATACAGTGCTTGTGCCATTCCTATCGTACGCGAGACATTGGCTACAG